TTGGGAGATGTCCTAAAATGTTTGCATAGGACTAATGGTTTGCAATTTGAGTCCCCAAGAGAATTCCTTTTAAGTTTTTTGTTCTCTTAATTTTACCATGAGCATTCCTAGAGGAAGACTTAACAAAGATGAAGATTTTCCAAAGTGGCTTAAAGCCAAGTAGTTCTATGTTTAGCGATACTCATAAAAATAATACTCGTCCTACCTCTAATGAACAAACATCTTTGTGCATACAAGCCTTTGCCCAGATCCTCATGAATAGGATCCCAAAGATCCCTTCTTGGAGATCAAGGGACGCCCAACACAAGCACATTGTAGTACTGCTTACCACCAAATCCACCTTTTCCATATCAACCTTTGTCCTTAAGCACATCAGTATTGCTCTACTACAACTAGTACCTTACTAGAAGTACCCCAGGCCAATATTGAGGGCCTGATGTACCAAACCCTCACCAATATCTGTATATTAATCTCAAATTGTAGGTCTCCTGTTTCCATCCCATGCCCAGTAACACACCCATCTGCACCTTCAACACTAGCACAATAAACGACTCAATCACAATCATAAATGGAAAGGATGATAAAGCATATGGCCCTTTTTATCAACACCCCTGAACCCTAGAAACAGCATCTATGGGAAGCATCTATCATGATTAAGAATCTAACTAAAGGCAAGTAAACTTTGAGCCACAAGAAGCAGCTCATAATAAACAAACTTATTCTAATGAGACCAAATGCACATGAGAAAAAGAGATGCTTCTTAAATTGGCTAAATTTGTTTTATGTTCTATTGCTGAAATATTCACTTTATTCAATATTCTAATATTCTCCATACTCCATAGCATTCCACTGAAGCATTTTTAGCACTGAAACCAAATGACTTGCACACAGTTTTGTAACATTGTTCATACACACCCTAACAATGGATACTCATTCTGTGTAACGAAACAACCCAATGAACATAATTGTCTCTGTTTTTATACCCATCAATGGAAAAGACAATAAAAATTAATTCCAACATTGAATACCAAGTAGGTCCATGGGAAAATGGAGTCCCAAAGATGTAGTAAAAAGAACCTGAACGATTCCAAACAACCCAAAGAAGAAGAAATGAAAATCCCTATACAACTAACAAGGCAAGAAACAGTAATTTGCTTATTTGAGAAAGAGTTAATCATATAATTAGTCACCAATTAACCAAAATAATAATAATCTGCAATCCCCACGAGTTCCAGTCCAACTTAAAGCACCAATTCTTTATTTCCATTCTCAGTTGCAGACATTATAGCAGAGCCTTTCTTTTTCTACTTAAAAATTTCTTAAAAAGTGAACACAATTTCAAGCTTCGCCCTCTTCCTCACCATGGAAAGCTGCAGTAATATGAATTCTATAAATTTTGCTGCTATCAAATGCCAATATCAAGCTATCAAATGCCAATATCAAACTAAACAATGGAGGAAGCAAAATAAACAGCCAAGTTCTTGAAACCCAAAGGTGGAAGAGAGAAATCAAATTTCTAAAAACGTTGATGCCATCAAATGCCCATCGCAACAACAAACTTTGAAAACAGAACAAACAACTAAACCTAAAGGATCCTAATAGAGAGAGCAAAAAAGGAAGGGAGAGAGACCGAAAGAGGAAGAGTGAGAAGACAGAGAAACAGGACGAGTGGAACATAAATAGAAACAATCTCTAACCATATCCGGCTTCGAAGCAGAAAGCCTGCCCATGTATTCTCTCTTCTCCTCAACAGAGGCAGGAGGCAAGCTTGGCACGTTGAGAACGATATCAACACAGAGATTACCCAAAGTGGAAACATCTGTACACTTCCGAAGGCCAGCATCGCCATGAAACCGGTGACAAATCTGATGATTACTGATATGGCATGGTGTGGCCTCTGCATATATGCTAAATTTAACAGCGTGAGGACATTTTTGGGTGCTACAGAAACAATTGTTTAAGAAGAAGCCATTGGAATGAGATTGTTGAGATTTTAGGGTTTGAAGGCAAGGGAAATGGCAGAGAGGTGTGATTACAGGTCGCAAAGTGGAGAAGGGGGAGACTAAGGGAGACGTCTGCATTGAGAGAGAGAGAGAGGGAGAGTAGAGAAAAATGCAGTGAAGAGAGAGAGAAAAAAAGATTTTTATTTTGGGAATAAAAGCGAGTAAATATGCTTTGCCTGCCTTTTACCATCGCGGAGTACCTGGTGTAACGGACCGCCTGTCATAATGTAAAGCAACCAGTAATAACAAATTTGGAATTTTTTGTTTTCCATGATCCGTGGATTGATCATTTCTTTTGTCCATTTATTTCAAGGGCAAGCGTTCTTCGATACTTATTTGTTTCTTACAAAATTATGATTGACCTTCGAGTTCTCGTTTTATACAAACCTTTTTATATGTTGTTCTTATTTATTTGCATCCTCCCCCTCCCCCTAAGTTAAAAAAAGAGAGTAAGTTTACATGCGATAAGAGAATAGATGAAACCCACTCACACCCATATAAATAGGACTCGTATTAATGTTAGAAAAATTTTAAAGGATCACCATTAAATTTTGACACAAATTTTTAAAAAAGTTATTATTTGGATATGGGAATTAGGTAAATGAGTTTATTGATAATTTTTTTAAAGATCTGTGTCAAAATTTAACGGTGATCCTTTGTGGTCTTACTCACATGGGTGGGGGAGGGTTTCATACTATCATTAATCGGAATAAAATTACCCCCTCACAGTTTAAAAGGTTGTCAAATTAGCTTTTCTTTTTTTTTTTCCAGGTTGAAACGAATCGAATTCTGGTGCTGCCGCTTTGGTTAGATTCGGGTCTCCTTCAGGCCAAAGCTTTGGCCTCTTCGGCCGAAGCAAAAAAATATCTATATATAAATATTTTTTAAATTTATTTTTAATTTTTTAATATATATACATATATATA